CGCGCAGGCCCCCGAGCCGGCTCGCTGGGCGGGCTCAGTGGGGCCGCACCTCAAGGGCTGACCCCTGGCCCTGGGGGGCCGCGCACCCCCTCTTCTCGTGCAGGCCTGTGCGCGGGAAGGCGGGGCTCGGGGACGTGCTCTGTGCGGGAGTGGGGGACTTGGAGGCTCAGGTGCCGGCTCCCAGGAATGCGGTCCACGCCCCGGGCTGCGGCTGGGCGGTGAGGTTGGGGGAGGAAGAGCAGAGTCATTCCTTAGTTTCCTGGGTTGGGCCCGGCTTTGCCTTCAGTTTCTTTGTGTGTGTTTTTTGTTTGTTGTTTTTTTTTTATGTCACTTACCTAGATATTACAACTACAGGTGTCTCTCCAAAAATGTATACACACGTTGAATAATTATTAATTCCAATGGGTTAAATACAAAAAGAAAGAAACATCAATTGAGCTATCAAAAAATGTATGTGTATACATTTGGGGGGGTACCCCCTAATGATGTTGTTTTAAATGTAATCGGTTCTTTTCTGCTTTTTTTTTTAAGCCCAACGCATAGTAGAGAAAAAGGGGGGTCCCTGGTCTCCCCACCAGTCTAAACTGTTTTTCCTTGAATATACTTACATGCTATTTTACAGACATGGGAATATACCCATGCCATCCACAATCAGCTAGGTGGCCACATTCTCCAGTTCTGTGGCTGCTCTGTGTGGACAGCCCTGGGCTGACCCCTCCCCTGGGCCCAGCTGCTGCTGCAGACCAGCTTCACTGAGGTGGTTTAACCTGGTGAGACCCTGAAGACACAGGGCTGTGGGGCCTTTTATAGTTGGAGGGACTTGTTCTTTGGCGTCAGTGTTCGTATAGTGTGTGTGTGTGTGTTTAGAGAGAGAGGGGAAGGAAGGGAGGGAGAGAAACAACTATTTGTTGTTTCACTTATTTACGCATTCATTGGTTGATTCTTGTACATGCCCTGACATACATTCTTGTATGTGCCCTTACCAGGGATCGAACCTTGGCATCTAGGGCTGATGCTCTAACCAACCGAGCTACCCGGCCAGGGCCTTGCTATAACTTGTTTTTAATTCAGTCCGAAATCTCATCTCAGCATGAGGATTGCAAATGTTTCACAGTGAGGTTCCAGCTCTAGTCTTCAAACACATCAGATAACATGGGCTGGAATGCAGCAGCTGCTTCCAGATCTTTCCAGGAAGAGTGACTTCATGTGACTTTAATAGGGCATGTTCCTTTCTGTAGGGAAATCTGGAATCTGTGGAGTCAGCCTGGGGACAAAACAGAGAGACCTGGGTTTGAATTCTGGTCTAGCCAATCTCCACTTCTCGGGTGAGTGACTCCAGCAAAAGACTCCACTTGTTCAGCTCTTACTTTCTTACCTGGACGGAACATGGGAGTTTAGAGGGACTTAAAACTGACCTCATGTGGCTGTTGTGTGTATTAAATGAAATGTTAGCATAGCTTGGCATTCATGGCTAGCCGTGATTAACTCTTATTTCCTCTTACGCTCCTTACAGCCCATTTTCTAACCCTGAAATGCTCTCTATCCTGACCCCCTGCCCCAGTGGTCGGCAAACTGCGGCTCGCGAGCCACATGCGGCTCTTTGGCCCCTTGAGTGTGGCTCTTCCACAAAATACTGACTTCTTCGCATGGGCCACGAAGTTTCAATCTCATTGTACGTGCGTGCCCACGAGTGGTATTTTGTGGAAGAGCCGCACCACGGTTTGCCGACCACGGCCCTACCCCCTTCACACTCCTCCCACTCCATGCCTGGATTTAAACTATTACCCACACCCATCGGGACTCCCGTCCCCTTGTTTCAGAACTAAAATTGACTGACTAATTTGAAGAATCATGAGTTCATCCACACAGTGGAACTGCTATTGGAAGGGGACCTGGCCCTGAGTGGGTCTGCCTAGGCCGGCTGGTAGTGTGTACCTGCTTGACTTCGTGCAGGAAAGATTTCACATTGCAAGTCCAGGTGATTTTTAGAGGATATGTATTGAAGCTGGGGACAGTGAAACAAGGAAGGGCCTAGGATAGAAGAAACAACAGGAGAGGGACCAGGCTGGGCTGCTTTGGCTCACTAAGAAGTCGGAGAAAAGGGTCCTTGGGGGCAGGTTCAGGGGCTTAGCCCTGGACGAGCTGCCGCTGCCCACTGCTCCCTGATTGCAAGCCTTGTGGGGTCCCTTAGAGTTTAGATGCGTGCCTGTGGGGAAGAAGAGGGGGAAGGGAAAGGCACAGGCATGCTCCTGGGAGGAAGAGCCCACGCTGGGATCTTTGTTTTCTCAGGGGGTTAAAGGCTGAAAGTTTAGGGGAGGATCTCAATAGAATATTCACCAGTTTTATGCTGAGGTGCCAAAATGAGATTTATTCCCTTAACTTCTTCTGTCCTTGGATGTGGCTGGCAAATGGCACTAATTGGATTTCTCCCTGAAAAGCACGATTTAAGCTATTTATTCTCTGGTTAAGGAGAAGTGTAAACCATTTACTCATTTTGTTTGTTTGTTTTTACAAAATGAAAACAATTTTGATTATTTTGGTACACTCTTATTTGTGATTTGTTTCCACTCTGCTGTCATGTGTGTGCCAGGTGAAAACTATAAAAGAAATAACTGATTATTAGGCAGGAAAAAGGAGCCAGAAAAAAATCCAGTCAACTACAGATGTTTTCATTAGTGTCCTTGGTTACAGAAGATAGGATTTTGCGATTTGCTAGATGGCTGTACACTGCTTGGCTGTTTAACTCTCTGTCTCAGTGTCCCTATTCCCCTCGTCCTGGCTTATTAGCCTGTCTCAGAACTTCCTGCACCGCTGTGTGGATGGATGTTTTTGTACTCTCTAATATGCCCTTGCTTTGAGCAAACATCCTGCTCCTTTGCCCCCCAAATCCTGCTTGGTTCATGGGTTCATGTGAGTTTGATGAACCTGGCCCTACCAATTAGAGCAGCGGTTCTCAACCTGTGGGTCGAGACCCCTTTGGCGGTCGAACGACCCTTTCACAGGGGTCGCCTAAGACCATCCTGCATATCAGATATTTACATTACGATTCATAACAGTAGCAACATTACAGTTATGAAGTAGCAACGAAAATAATTTTATGGTTGGGTCACAACATGAGGAACTGTATTAAAGGGCCAGAAGGTTGAGAACCACTGAATTAGAGGCTTCCATGCCGCTGGCCATGATTGGTTCAGGGCAGGGTAGTCATGGAAGACACTAACCCAACAGCCAGATACAGCCTTCCTTCTCCCTTGCTTCCAGTGTAGACGCTGGACAGTCTAATACGCTCCCTGCCTCTCACCTCGGGGAGGCTGGTAACTTAGTTCTGACAAGGAATTAAAAGGATGGCTTCTGAGAAAATACTTTTCTTTCTGAGAAAAGTGGAAAAAGCACATGTGGCAAGAAAATGGGATCTCCCTACAGCCATGGGAGGCAGCCATCCCAGCAGTGGATCAGCAGCCCCAGTCGCGGCCTTGAGATGACTGCAGGCCTGGTCAGTATCCTGAGGAAAGTCTCCTGAGAAACACCGAACCCAAATCACTCAGCTTAGTTGCTCCTGAATTCCTGACCCACAGAAGTTATGAGATTTAAAAAAATCTGTATTTTTTTTAAAGCTGCTAACTTATACAATATTTGGTTAGCAGCAATAGCTCTCTAATACTGAAGCATCCATCTTATATAAAAACGGCTGTTTGAAATTTTAACCCTGCTATTTCTGGCTTCTGTAAATGCTTGCTGGCTTAAATAATAAAGAAAATAAGACTACTCCCATTTCAGAGAGGCCATTAAACCTTCTCCAGATGAAGTTATCAGTGCTGGCTTCAGGCCAAGCCTTTGGTTGAGGTCTCAAAGCCCCAGCACATAGGGCCCTTTAAGACTTGCAAAGGGAACCGGAAAAACCCCATATTTGGGAGACAAAAAAAGGTAAAATAGTATAAATACAGGAAATTTCCTGTGTGATTTTGCCCAGAATTTGAGAGACATTTTCCTCTGGGCCCGCGCATAATAATAATAAATGTAACTCCATCTCTCTAAGCGTTCCTTGGTTCTTCTCCGGTTTTCTGTAACATTATATTCAGAAAAATTCCACATGTGGAGTGGATGATGGGCAGGGGATTCAACCCTTATCTCTCCCCCTTATCTCTGACCCACCAGAGACACTCCATTCCTCACCCCACGCCCCCACACTGTGCTGCCCTCCCCCTGCTTCTGGAATCTCCTGCCAAGGCTTTCCCTGAGTCTTCAGTGCTACACAGGATGATTCCGCCTGTACCCGTGCTGAAAGAGTACCGAGGAACATCCAGGTAAAATAATAAGAAATTTCACCGGATGAAATTCATTTCAAAAGAGTCATAGCAAGTGGTACAGTAATTATAGATGTTTCTCTCTCATGTTGGTGTTTCTCTCTCTCTCTCTCTCTCTCCCTTTCCCTTCCTCTCTCGCTGAAAAAAAAAATCAACAAATGAATACATAAATAAGTGAAACAAATCAATCTTTCTCTCTTTCCCTCTCTCAAATCAGTAAAAAGTGTCATTAAGAGAATCCTCCATTTATATGAAATACTGACATTATATTGGCTTTGGCCTGTGATTTATTTTCCTGTTTATATAGAATGTCCCTCTTCAGAACAGCTTTGCTAATAAAAAGGATAAACTTTTCATTAATTCGTTAACATATTTAACAAGTTCTTTAAGCAATGGAGTACTTCAGTAACACTGTTTGCTTTTCTTTCATTTTGTGTAGTCTTATTGCTAAATTGATATTGAAAGATGAACAAGAAATAAGTAGACTTTATCCAATGTAGTATTTCAAAAGTCAACCAGAATTTTGGGATCCTTTTCTTTAGAATTAAAGTATAATATCAGTATTTCATATAAATGGAGGATTCTCTTAATGACATTTTTTACTGATTTGAGAGAGGGAAAGAGAGAAAGATTGATTTGTTTCACTTATTTATGTATTCATTGGTTGATTTTTTTTTTCAGCGAGAGAGGAAGGAAAAGGGAGAGAGAGAGAGAGAGAGAAACACCAACATGAGAGAGAAACATCAATCAGTTGCCTCCCTTACCTGCCCTGACTGGGGATCGAACCCACAACCTGGATATGTGCCCTGACCTGGAATCAAACCTGCAACCTTTCAATGTCTGGGTCGATGCTCCAACCAACTGAACCACACTGATCAGGGCATAGTTGATTCTTGTATGTGCCCTGATCGGGGATTGAACCCTCAACCTTGGTGTATTGGGATGATGCACTAACCAACTGAGCTACCCGGCCAGAGCCGATGACATTTGTTAAAGAGTCAATGGCCTTTGAATATGAGGGAAATGAAGAATACTGAACACCACCAAAACCACCAAAATCCTTACATTGCTCAGTTAGAACAGTGTAAATGCTGAAGTAGGAGAACAGTTTCATGACAGTTACTTCAGTCTCAAGAGAAAAGACATCAGATGTGGAGAGCGGCTACAGTGTTTGGACAGGTTCAAGCCTTGGACTAATGAGAGAGCACAGTCCTCTCATGGCCACGTGCAAGTCCTAGCTTGGAGGGCAGAGCCCTCCCAGCACAATTATAGCCAACAGCTGTAGTTGTAAGCTTGAACCTATGGTCCGAACACGTGGCCCCACGTGTCTGAGTAATATGGGCTTGATAGAGTTCAGGTGTATGTAGTTGAATAGGATTGAAACCCACGAGAATGTTGTAAACATCTTGACCACGCCCTTACTTTGCCTCGTGGAATCTGGCTATAAAATAAAGACACAGCTTGTAGTCCGTGGCGCTGTCGCTAGCTCTCCATCAAGGAGGCTCTCCGTCAGAGAGGACAGCGTCCCACCCAGACCCAGCTTTTATTCTCTTGTCCGTCCTTTCTTAATCCTTCACCACCCCCTCTCAGGCTCACCAAACCTGGCTGAGCTGGCACGGCACATAAGGTGCCCTGGGGCTGAGTATGCCATGGCTGTGCCAGGTCACCACAATCAGATACTATTGAGCAGCATTATGCAGAATGTAGGCAGGACAAGCAACACCTTCCATAGTTATCCATGCTTTGCTTCAACTTTGAACATTGTACCCTTATGCAGACATTCATCAAAAGTTGTATTATCTCCAACTAAGTAGTAAAAAATTTCAAATTACCGAAACCGGTTTGGCTCAGTGGATAGAGCGTCGGTCTACGTACTGAAAGGTCCCAGGTTCGATTCCGGTCAAGGGCATGTACTTGGGTTGCGGGCACATCCCCAGTAGGAGATGTGCGGGAGGCAGCTGATCGATGTTTCTCTCTCATCGATGTTTCTAACTCTCTATCTCTCTCCCTTCCTCTCTGTAAAAAATCAATAAAATATAAAAAAAAAATGTCAAATTAACTCTTTTTATATATGCAAACTGCATATATTTAATGTGTAATTTGATTAAGTTTGGGCATATGCATACATCAGTGAACCGTCACCACAATCAAGCTAGACATACATCATCTCCAAAAGTGTTTTGTGTCCTTTTGTTTTTGGCGTGTGTTTATCATTAACAAGTAATAATGGAGTTTCTGCAAAAATTTGCTACTGTTTCTGAAGTTTCATCTGGAAAAAATTCTACTCCCAATAGCCTCATAAGCAAACGTTTTTCATAAGAAAAATATTGCACAGCCCAGCCGGTGTGGTTCAGTGGTTGAGCACCGACCTATGAGTCAGGAGGTCACATGCAGGGTTGCCAGCTCAATCCCCCCCAGTGGGGAGCATGCAGGAAGCAGCCAATCACTGTTTCTCTCTCATCGTTGATGTTTCTATCTCTGTGTCCTTCCTCTCTGAGATCGATAAAAATATATTATAAAAAAAGACAAAGAAAAATACTGCACAAAGGAAGAGTTGCTTCTGCATTGTGATTACCTGCATTGTGGCTGTCCCATAAAAAGGTGAGACATTTAGATCTTTGATAATCTTTGTAATAATAAGTGGAGCTATTACGTTTTTGAAAATGTGCTTGCAATTTTGGAGCCAGAAAACACTTCTGGTAGTAGTACATTCAAATAGTTATTTTATTTTAATATATTGTTATTGATTTCAGAGAGGAAAGGAGAGGAATAGAGAGATAGAAACATCAGTGATGAGAGAGAATCATTGGTTGGTGGCCTCCTGTACGCGCCCCACTGGGGATTGAGCCTGCATCCTGGACATGTGCCCTGACTGGGAACCGAACTTACTGGTTCATAAGTTGACGCTCAACCACTGAGCCACACCAGCTGAGCCAAACAGTTATTTGAGCTGAAAGACTGAGGATGATATAGAGTGGGGGAGTCCATTACATTTCTGCTACAATTATTTTATCTTCTTAATCTGAATTTCTCTTCATCAAAAAAAGTGTTAGGTTATCACTTTTCTTCGGACTACTTGAGGAACTCATGCATCTTTTATGCTTAACTCATGCATCGTATGCTGGTTTATATCTGATTTTCCATCTTTTACGTTAAATGAACAATTGCATACTATAGAAAGCTTCAAATGGAATTTTTCCTCATTTAATGTTCGCTGCTCAGAAAATTCAGCATGAAATTTTTGCTTGCTTTTTAGTATTTGGGCTTCAAATATACACTAAATATATAATAGAAACCACTGTAAGGATCAAAGAGATTGAATTTGATAATCTCACAATGGCAACAGTGCATCTATCACAAGTCTGAACTCATAATTGTTGAAAGGGCTCCAAATTCATTAAATTGAACTTGACATCTGATGCAAAGAAGGTGAACTTCCTGTTTGTCTGAAAGCGAGAACTGTACTTTTAAGGCAAAGTCTCCCCCACAAAGCCAGACCTGTTTTAAGGCAGTGTTTGGGGAAGCCTGAGCCTGGTGCAGGGGCTGGTGGACTTTCAGAAGTATTCAAGGGATGTAAGGCCTTTCAGCTGTGTTAGTGCAGCTCTGGAGCAAGGCTGCCTTTAACTGGCTGACTTCAGGCACAGTCCTGGAGTGAGGCACTTGCTGATTGGCTGTGTCTAGATGTGGGGGCTGTCACTGATTGGCTGACTGTCAGAAACTAGGTTCTGCCATGGATTTGCTCACTTTCAGAAGCATTAACTAGGGTGAGAGTATTGCTGATTGGCTGATTTTCAGAACAAAAATCGTAAGTTATTTCTTATTAACTAAGGGTGGTTACTGTTCAGAACTTGGCCAAAGAACAGTGTTTTCCTTTCTTGAATATGAAAATCAGTCCCTTTAATTCCCAGTCTCCCCTTTTGTACATCCCTTCGCCAAACCCGAAGGAAACCATAAGGAATCGTGTAGGTCAGCGGTTCTCAACATGTGGGTCGCGACCCCTTTGGGGGTCGAACGACCCTTTCACAGGGGTCGCCTAAGACCATCGGAAAACACATATATAATTACATATTGTTTTTGTGATTAATCACTATGCTTTAATTATGTTCAATTTGTAACAATGAAATTGGGGGTCACCACAACATGAGGAACTGTATTAAAGGGCCGCGGCATTAGGAAGGTTGAGAACCACTGGTCTAGGTCTTTATTTGTGCAGAAATGCTTTTCAGCTAGTGTTGCTAGGTAAGTGACTAAGTACCAATTCCTGTGGAGGAAATTGCTCGGATGCATTTTTGTAATTTTTTTTTGGGAGGGGGGGGCAGCTGAATACAAACTAGTAGTCAGTACAAAATACAGGACATGTCCTGTATATATAGGCGCCCCTGTGAGGAAAGTGCAAGGGGAAAGGGAGGAAGCCCCACCCCTAGCAGAAGGAAG